GTTTTACCCTCTTTTCCGCGTTTTACCCTCTTTTCCGCGTTTTACCCTCTTTTCCGCGTTTTACCCTCTATTCCGTTTCCGCTTTTCCGGTTCCGCCATTCCGGTTCCGCCAGTCCGTTCCGTTCCGTTTCCGCGTTTTATCCCTACCCGGTCCCAATGGGCAAATCAACCTCTCTTAAGCGGACAGATGACAGATTGTCTGATAAAATGTATTCAATATTCGACAGTAAATAAGAATTGAGATATCAATTTACATGGCACATTGACAGTGACACACCAACTTGGCGCGAAGACATCAGAGCCAAGATTATTGAGGAAGTGACGAATGAGGACGGAGGACTGTGAGCCGCCAGCCATGATGATACTCAAATTACACACCTTTGCCTCCTGCTGTGTTTTTCTACATACCCCTTTTAAGCGGACACCCCTTTTAGGCGGACACTTCGCGAGGTCCCGAAGGTGTCCGCTTAATAGGGGTTCGACTGTATCGTTAATTACCAAACATGACTATATTTTTGTATATATTATGGGCCCATTATGGTGCGCGCGATGAGAAAACCAGGACTTGACTTTTGAAAGGGTCCGAGTCCGGTCCGAGTTTCGAAGTATGCTATAATTTCATAGTAGACGCTTGATTTACTACGAGACTTCTCATAAATCCCGATGTCAATTTGGCGACGGCTACGAGATTTGTAAGGTGTCAGTAGAGGACGGCGTAAGAAAATGGAGCATCCGTCTACTGTATCCGATGACGAATGTAGTCGTACTCGTAGCTAAAGCGCTCTATTTTCAGTGCTTTCCTAGCAATCGTAATGTCCAATGTTGTATGCATGCATCTCAAACTCATTAATAATTCATGAGCAAATTAGCGAATGAACTCACCCTAATTCGTCACATGATTGAGGTTGGATACCGCAAGGAAACACGTTAAAAATCATATACCATCACTGTTGTTAGATGAAAAACGGTTTTCATCTAATAACTGAGATCCTAATTACAAATTCAAGTCAAAACACAACAATATACTATAATAATATATATAAGCCAATGAAATGTTTTCGTTTGAGATGTTGTGTAAACAACTCGTTTCTCGTGTTTCATCAGGGGACCAAACACTCGAAAACAATAAAACGCTTCGCGCTCGTGTTTCATACAGTTTTCTCGTGTTTGGACACCCTGATGAAACACTCAAACTCGTTGTTTACATATAACATGAAATCTAGTCCAGTCCGAAATGGAGGATTTCAAACGAATAAATCACTACTTAAAGTGAGGTGAATTAATTTTGATCCAGTCCTGGGACTAGATCAGTATACATCACGAGGTATCCAGTATTATCATGTGAGCAAAATAAAGCAATATGATTGGCTAGTTTGCTCATGAATTATTAATGAGTTTGAAATTATACAATATAGTGTGTTACCATAATATTGTTTTGGTCACATTATAGTATGGTGCTACAATATTATTCTTTCGGGTCAAGGTCACCTGTAGGTGATGAATTTACAGTACTGCAGGGTTAAATAATTGCAATTTTTTTTGGCGAATAGTTAAATAAAAAATAAAAATGAATAAATTCAGACACTGCAGAGAAGAGCGAAAAATTCGTTGTCTCGAGCGTGATTTGAAGTCTCATTTTTGGGTTTCTATAGACCGCCGCTCTTCCGCATTGCTAGCACTAAGCAAGTCCAATTTACTTGCATATGAAAAACTGTGGAAAAACTAAGCGTTCATTAAGTCGTCGCGAAAATGTTTCGAGAACTACCAATCCCCGTTGACTCGATTACTTAGTGGGTAGACTTAGTGGGTAGACTTAGTGGGTAGGTTATATTTAACCAGGACGTCAAGACTACAATAGGTCCCTGGTTATTTATCCACCTAACATAGTCAGGGCAAATTAACCAGACTGTTGTAGGAAAAAGGTTGAAATAACCAGAATATTTTACCATGCAGGAAGATTCAGTTACCCCAAACAGAGTTATTTCTGTGTTATAACCAGGAAAATTTTAACCAGAGTATACCTTTGGTAGATGACGGACTGTAAGCCTACAAAAATTGTTGAAGTAAAACAAAATTCATTAATCTGTTTATTTAGCAAGGAAGACAAAGCTGTGATCGGTGTTTCTACGACAACATGCCGCTCACTGGAAGCCCTCTCCCCCAACGAGCTTCAAGCAAGACCTCTGATATTGTGAAACAATATCGAAGGGAGCGAGCTAAAAGGTATATTACAGTATGCATTCTGATACATAGGGCGCTTTCCATTTAATAGCCTGACCGGTCAGACCCGAATTTTTGTCTCTGTATCAATGGAAAGATCTGGTCTATGTTTCTCAAATATCTAGCGAAAATGGACCTCATTCTAATTTTATCAAAATTTTCAGGTCAGAAAGGCCCAAAGCCCATTGTTTGTTTGTTTGTATGTTTGTTAGCAGAAAAACTCAATACCTATCAAATAGCTTAATACGAAAATTAGTGGAGCTAATGGCATAGGTCAAGGCCCTGAATATACATGTGTAAATTAATATACATGTATAATTTATGTTTGATTACTTGACTTTCGCTGGCGGGCGGGTCTTTTATTCAATATTTTGGCCGAATTTTTAAAGGCACTTTTAAGCTTAGTGTAATGCAGACATGCAGTATAGATGTGCGAAAAATCAACGTATTTTATATATAGTTAAAAAAGCATATATTAATAATTAATAACTGTTTGATAGGATCTTTGTCAACAGAAGTTTAAACATTAGCAAGATTAAGTTTTTTGGATTTGATATGGATTACACTTTAGCAGGTAAACTCCGCAGCGTTTGAGTTGTTTGTCTTTGTCTTTATCTCATTAATTCCATTAGTACTGTTACAATGGTCCAAAATGTTCAGTATTGACCGAGTGACAATTCTTGGTAAATGTGACCATTACCACTATAAAATAACCTATCTTCCATTTTTTATTAAGAAATGTCTTTCAAAATTAGTTTATTTTTCAAATAAGCTATACTCAAGTGTCACTATATGATTCATTGCATTTTTTATTTACTGTATAATATAGCATACAAGTCACCAGAATATGAAGCGATGACGTTTCGTTTACTGGTGACAAGGCTGGTTGAAATTGGTTATCCAAAGGTGTGTTAATTTTATCCTATATAAAAGTAGTTGAATGTAGATGTACTATTAAGCCAGTTTTCCGCTTCAAGCGTACCCTTTCAAAAACATTAACGTATCAAAAACATTTTTAAATTTCAAAATTTAGTGATTGTTGATTGGTTAATACAGTCGAACCTCTATTAAGCGGCCACCCTCGGGGATCGGCTTTGTGGCCGCTTAATAGAGGTGGCCGCTAAACAGAGGTACGCAAATAATAGACCCTGGGCGTAGTCGATGCTTTTGAGGTGTAAAGCTTTTGAGGTGTAAAGTGGCATGTGTTAAAACACAATTTTTAAGCCTTATTTTACAAATAAAGCAAATTAGCTCGACTTTTATTTTCGGCTCTCTTGATAAGGTGTTGTGCCAAGTAAATCCTGCAGGCTGGCCGCTTAATAGAGGTAAAAATTGACATAAAACATCATTTGAGACAGCTCTTTGGGTGGCCGCGGCCGCTTAATAGAGGTGGCCGTTTAATAGAGGGATAGTTTATAGTATTTGTATTACAAAAATTTCGGGACTTCGATATGTGGCCGTTTAATAGAGGGTGGCCGCTTAATGCAGGGCCGCTTAATAGTGGTTCGACTGTACTTCCGTAGTACGCCAAAAAGTTGACTTGCGACGAACTTTTCATTTTGATACGCGAATACACCCGGAAGTACGTAGATTGATTAACCTATTTTCAATCTACGCATGCTCACCAGTACGTTTCGGTACGGTGCGGTTGAAATGGAAAATTGGCTTAAGTGTTAGAACGTACAACATATTGTTCTGTATACAAATGCCTTCTCTTCATTGATTTTCAGTGATTCGTAAACTGCAGTGTTTTACGACATGAAATCATAAATTGACATGAATTCCTTCTTATATTAATATGAGATGGATTCCTTCCTAATGAAATAACCAAATAGTTTGAGTCTTACAGAATTCTTCTGTTCCCTTTTAGGAGCTTGCAGAGCTAAACTATGATCCATCATTCCCTGTAAGGTATGTAAAGCAATGTTTTTGGTTTACTCTATGTCGATGCCGACTCGATGAAGCCAGTTACTGTACATGTCACAATATAGATATGGATTATTCCCACAAAACGTCCACACGATTTTCATAGCGAGAGCTTATCGTTCACTCAGTTGATGTAGTGACGTCACTCCAAGCTTATGAACCTAACTCTGTCCCTAACCCCATCCCTGACCCTGTCCATCCCTAACACTGTCCCATTTTCCCTAACCCTAACGTTTCCCACGAATCTTCGGTGTGACGTTACTACTTAGTACATGAACTGTGTGCAGGATAGTTTTTCCAAATTTCCTGGCAATAGTTTCCCCTACCAAAAATGTGACCACAAACAAACAAACAAACAAACAAACAAACAAACAAACAAACAAACAAACAAACAAACAAACAAACAAACAAACAAACAAACAAACAAACAAACAAACAAACAAACAAACAAACAAACAAACAAACAAACAAACAAACAAACAAACAAACAAACAAACAAACAAACAAACAAACAAACAAACAAACAAACAAACAAACAAGAAAAACACAATTTGCTTCTCTGTCTTCCCATTAATTTGTATACAGTACTTTGCCCGAATATTAGGTTGGAGAGTTTTTCCCCCGCATGTCGAAGTCTTTGGCTAGATTCAAGTAGATTGTAACCTTTACTTTAGTTACTTTAATTCACTTTAGGGGTCTT